GGATAAAAATGCCAAATCCAGTCTAAACATCTGGCTGACTGTGTGATCAAGAACAATAACAATAATAATAGCTTTAAATCTTAGCAATAAATATATTTAAGTGAGGGAAGCCAGGTGGCATCCTCTCTTCTGCTCCTTACATCCTTAGATCTTGTTCCTGACAAACCATCTGTTTCCCCTCTTCCCCTATTTTATTTTATTTTTTTTCATTTGTGCCTTTGAGTCAGTGCTGAGTCCTGGCAACTGCCTGGACTAGTCCCTGCACTATACCGCACTCACTTTTCTATTGCTGTATGGAATAACAAGAGACAGTTTTCAGATGCCCTACCGAGAGACTCGAGTCTGTTCAGCCCATGCTTGATGCCATCTGTAGTAATTCACCTTGTATCAGTTTCGTGGTGCAATTTATGCTAGCTAGGACTTAGCTAAAACAAGCCCTCCTCACATTATTTGCCTAATATAAAAGATTACTTTAATGTAAGTATATATTTACATTACAATTTACATATATCACAGAACTTCAGATAAACTTGTTTCTTAAAAAAATATTAATATATTCCAACTAGGGACAATAAAGTTTTGTCATTACATTTCTATTACATTCAGTACCAAGCTAAGGCAACCATTTAGGTCATCTGATACAATTTTTGAATAGCAAGCAATGTGTTACAAACAGAGGTAGAAGTAACATTTTGTAATAAGGTCTGAGATCCAGAAATATTTGATAAACATGCTGGAGCTAGAGAATTTTCATTTTCTCAAAATCAAATGGCCAGTTATGCCCCACTTTTGGAGGCCACACGGAACATCATGTAGCCTCCAAAAATGCTCATTATGTGCACCATTTTCAATCCTAAGGTTGCTCAACAGTTATATTATAAAAGAACATCCATGGGAGGTTCATAGCACTCTGTTAGACTTTTCAAAATACTTAAGCAGTTGATACTTTTCTAACCTAGATACTTTCATAAGAATGAAAGATACTTCAAGCCCAAGTCAAAGCAATTATCCAAAGTTTACTAGTGAGCAAGAATAATGGGATCACATTGCCTGTAATTTGTATGAAGTTCATGCTCAGTTTCAACCAGACATTTGCAGTCATTGAAATTATAATAGGAAGATATAACTAATTGGGTTAAAAAGAAAAAGATTAGCTATAGTGGTATATCTATATCTTCTTCCCAGGTGGAAGTAAATGTTTCCGCTAAAAACTGATTTTCAGAATAATCTAATAAAAGTGCTCTCAGGAATTTAAATAAGTGTGTTACTTAATTTTCCTTTACGCACACAAATATTAAACCAAATCAGACCAATGGCAATTGGGTGAACAATCTGTATAATGCTTAGATTTGCAATGTAAAGCTGAGTGATAACCTCCAAAAATTTACTATGCAGTGACCTACCAACAATGTAATCTTATACATGTATATCTGGATATATCTCCTGCTGAGTTCAGTGGGATATACTCTTATGCAAGCAGATAGAGAATTATAGTCTACACTGAGATCAACAGATGGCCAACACAATTTGACCTTTTTTACTGGAGGAAAAAAACCACATTGTCATAAATACTACCTGCTAAACTATCCTTAGAAAGTTCATATAATCATGTACATATAGATCTGTAATACTGTGTTCTTAAACAAATTAAAATAATTAAAGTTGGGATTAATAACACTTCTAATTTCCAATTCAAATTAATTTGGGAGGCAGTGTCATTTACAAAAAGAATTATAAAAACTTTTTTCTAATTACACGTTAGTAATTTCGATCAGTTCTTTATTTCCACAAACCAAAGACAAAAATAAAGGTGTAAGTAGTACAAAAATAACAGCAACACTATAGGGCTGCCTATGCATATTTTTAAATTAAATTCACATGCTCTAACAGTTTTTTTTTCCTTCTTGCATTTTTATTCATGTGGAAATGGCATGATTTTAAGCATTATATAATTGCCTTAAATTTATATTTCACAATTTTGCCCAGCAAATATTGTTTCACTTTGAGTATTGAGTTGTACTGGTGGTATTTACAGGATCACTAACACATGGTTAAATTATTTAAATGGTTTACTTAAGCCAAATTTCTGGGTTCACACAACACACTAAGCTAAACTCTAGCTAGCCTGTTGTAGTTCAGAGTGACATACAAGCATAGCCAGTGTGTTCTTCATAAGCTGTCCAACTTACTGCTTTGCTCAACTAACAACTGAGTAGCAATGTAGCATTCATATAACCCTAGAGAACACAATGTGGCATTTGCCAGGTTATCCTTGCCTCTAGGATGAGGTTTTCTTCTCCTACACAAGCGAACAGAGTAATTTCTCCGTTCTCTAAGCTGGAGGAGGGGGAGCTGCAGGTTACAGAGCTGATGCTTTATGCTACCCCTGTGGCACAAATACAAAAGAGAGTTCAACTAGATTTTTACAAAGGAATTTCCCCAAGCCACTGTCAGATCACAACTCCATCCCTGCAACTACACCATTAAATAATAATAATAATAATAATAATAATAATAATAATAATAATAATAATAATAATAGCTTGAGAAGCTTCAAGGTGACAGCACTGGAGAGAAAGTGTTCCAAACACCAGTCCTCTGTGTGTTTTACACAGGATGTCAACAAAACTAATAATTCACAGTTGGGCCCCCAGACCATATTACTGTATAGAAATGAGAGATAGAGTTTTATGGTACTAAAAATTTGTAAAATTGTCCTTTGTGTCAGGCTGCCTCCAGAAGACTACACGGAGACAGGCATGCAGTTTTCTTGCAGACAATTAAAACTGGTCTGCCATAATGTAAAAATATGTTCTGCCATAAATTTCAAGCCACGTTGTACATCTGTCTATACACACAGTACTGCCAGCAGAGATCTGGGGCTTGGCAGCACACTGTTGGTAGGGCATGCAGCACTCTCACTTGGGAGGCGCGAATCTAACTGCCCTGCACTCGGTCTCAGCCTTCCCAGCTTGGGGCTTTCCAGATGTTTTGGACTACAAGCCCCACCGCACGAGTTTGAGGAGAGCTGCTCAGTTCCTTCTCATCGCGTTTCCGCTGTGCTCAAGAACTGGCTGCTTTAAAGGCAGCTGGGAAGGGCAACACCCGGCGTCCACCTTTCTTTCCCTCTTACCTGTCCTGAACATCAGCTGCTTGTCCTCGGGGTCTCCGAATTCCTTCAGAAAGGACGTGAAGAGGACTCCGCACGAGTTCTGGATCCCGAAGACAGTCCCGTTGCACCACATGGAGGCCAGCATGACAACCCAGCCCCAGCCTCCCTCGGGCGGCTCGGCAGTCCCCTGGTGCACTTGCGGGGGCTCACCCTGCTGCGCCGCCTTCTCGGGAGGACCCTGCGTCGCCCCGAGCCCAATCACCAGGGGGACTTCTCCGTTCCCGGAGCCGAGCGAGGCTTTCTGCGGGCACCATTCTCCGTTTTCCTGCTTCGGCTTCTCGCCCACCGACTCACTTTCTTCCAGAGGGGAGGGGGTGGGGATGGAGTTCCCCACTTCCACCTCCTCGCTGACGGGAGACATAACCGCGAAGGCGAAGCACCGAGGCGGCCTGGGCTACAGCTTGGGTGTCCTCGCTCCTCAGCTCTGCCGAGGCAGCGCAAACATGCCCCGCGTCAAGAAAGGAGGAGCGCGGTCCAGAACTTAGCCAGCGGGCGCGAACGGAACGTCCTCCTCGCGCTCTTGTGACACCATACCAGCTCTCAAAGCTCAATTTACATATATTTCCTTTAGTCCGCCTGCCCCTAAGGCGGTCCCATTCGCGCAAGCCTCTTCCAGGTGGCTCTGAAGGAGTAGCCCACGGGGAGGCGTGGCCTTCGGCAGAGATGTGCTCTGCGCCCCACCTTCTTCGTCCTTTCAATGTTCCGGACGTCCCCATTGGCCAGGGTGCGCTGAGGTTCCGCCCCTCTCCCTTGAGTCGAACGAAGTGGGCAAACTGGGACAAAGCGCAGAGCGCGCCCGTGAGTGAGGAAAGCGGGAGCGGGGGAAAGAGGGGACGACGTATATATCCGCGCGCGCTGGGCAGCCCATCAGTCAAGAGATGACGACCACCCGAGGAAGGCGATTGGACGGGGGTGAGGGTGGGGTGGTGACAACAGGGGTTGCTGCTGCTTCTCTTCGCTGCAGGAGCAATGTAGGAAACCGTAGACCGTAAGCCGTGGTCTGCCCAGCACGCGTTCCGCGGCCAGTCGTGTGAGAGAGGAGATCTTTGGAGTCCTTGGGGTTCTCTGAGCTTGGTTCTTTTCCTGCAAATGTTTCATTACCCGGCTAGGGTAATGTTCCTTCCCCTACACACGACGGCGGTCTCAGAGGCTGGGCCGGGAGGCTGTGTGCTTGCGTGTCTGTGATGTCAGCCACCTCCCCAAAGTTAGTGGCAATTTATTGGCAGGGAAACAACGGCTTTTGCCAAGGTACAGGGCAAAAGGGCAGTACTGTAGCTGCGTGTAGGGACAAGTAGAAAGAAATAATAAAGTACGTATTGCTAACGTAGGAGACGCACACGGCATAATTTGACAAAGTTTGACACAAGGCACGTGGCCATTTAACAAAGCAGCCATCAAAAGTAACAATCCAGAAGAGGAGCCATATACTGGTTTGTTATAAAGACGCTTTAAGTATCCTATAATACTTTAATTGTAGTGTAAGTATTCTGGACTAGAGCCCAGCCTTAATCGGCAAAAGTTTATCAATATCACTTCAAATATGTCCAACGTTCAGGGTGAGTGTTATTGCTTATGTAGGGAAACAGCAGGTGCTTTCTGAAGAGAGAGAGATGGTAGCTGTAGGGCATAGCTGCCCAAGCCTTGGCCTTGGGTGTCCCCAAAGGGCCAGCAAATCTTTAGTAGACAGAGAGTGTCATGGTATCAGCCTGCAGCACAACACTTTATTGATCCTTAGGTGCATGCTTTCCAAGGAAGAGTGACCCCAAACAATGGGAAGGCAAAGATTTTTATGAAGTTGAGAACTACAAGGCAGGAATCCTAGGAATTTGTTTTGCAGACCAATTTGGGGAAGCTAGGCAGGTCCTTATCCCTGTACCCGGGACTATTTCTATTGTTAGGCAAAACGGGGCTTCCCGGAGCGCAGCAGAACTGAGGA